GCAATTAAAAAAAAATAGTCGATGACGTCATTGCTTCTACAAAAATGGCGCCAAATATAAAAATGTTACATCTTACATCTTACCTTACTCAACCTAGATGCACTACTACCCCTATGTTAAAAATAATCAAACACGGGTATACTAGGTAGGTTCAGAGATATAATTAATAATAACGTCTGGAGAGTGAGGTAGATGCCCTGAAAATGCCATCAACATTGCAACAGATAAACGCACAAAAGTAATTAAAATAAAAATAACAATTACCATATCATAAACAAAATAAAAGAAAAACATTTTGCTGTAAAAAGAAATTTAACCTATACCTTCCAAAATCCAGCAGATAAGGTGGAAGTTAAAAACGAAATCAAATATCACAAGAAAAAAGTGTGAACTTAAGAGTTAAAAATGTCAAAGTTTTAGATAACACTCTGTGGAGGTTGGTGGAAAAAGTAAAATACAACTGAGATGATAATAATTGCCCAACTTGAACTATAGGTGCTTCGATAATAAATAGTACAAAAAATAATATACCGAAAAATACTTTAAATAAAATTCTAACGAGATTATAGGTATAATAAAGTCCCTTCCTATAGAAACATGATATTAACGCCACCATAAAGCTGAAACACTATCCTTTCCAATGGAAAAAACTATAACTGCCCCGGTATAAAACCCAACAAAGATCACTAACTACCTGTTAATAATCGTCCTATTAGTCTGCTTAGCACGCTCTCGAAAGTAGCAGAATAAGTTAAAGTTGTTCATGACGTCCAGCAGGCCAATAGTTGCAAGAACCATGAGCAAGAACACTGTTATGGTCATGCTGAACATAAAATAAGTTATAATATTATGAACAATATTTATTGACAAATAAAATTGATTTTTATAAGAGTGACTGATAGGCACATTGGTTATGACAACAGTTTGACAAGTAACAGACCGGCTGGGTCAAAACTTTTTAGTTATTTTTGACTAATTCATTTTAAGAGAGGATTCCTATCTTCCACTTGTCAAATACAAAAGTTATTGAGCCTGGGGTGCCACAGGGAACTGTATTTGCCCCTATATTATATACTTTATACACAAGTGATATACAGGATGCACCAAATACCCTTCTATGTATGGGTACCATTTTATTGAGCTACAAGCTCGGTTAAATAAGAGCAATTACGAAAAAAACTGAAAACCTGTCAAAACCAAAAATCGTTCAACTTCGTTATTTTTGGGAATTTCATCCAATGTTTTTTATTTTTCGCCTCAAAATGATTTCTACTTAAATCTAATAAGATGATTTAATATTTAAATCTTTATTTAAAAATGTTTATAATTAGTTCTTTTTTATAAATTTATTTATAGCTTTATAAATTTATAAATAGGTGCTAAAACAAATTATCTTTTTGAGTTTGAATTAGAAGGTACAGGGTGATCCCCTATAATGTCGCCCCCCTTTAACTTTTTTATTTTAAGTCTCTCAAAAAATTTAAAAGTGTGGTTATGTAGGTACTAAAAAATACTTTTTTTCTACGTATAAAAAAAATTTAAAATTGATCAATATACAGGGAAAAACAAAAAGTTTATTTTTTTTCAATGGTTCACCCTATATATGTATTTATTTTTCGATTCCTTGTAAAATTCTGAGCATACCATAACCTAAATTCAACTGTTTCTGAAATATTCGCATTCGAAATGTTATCATTAAATGTTTTTTAAACTGTTAGAAATCAAGAAGCATCAGTATACCAAAATTTTTATTGAAAATAAATTACTATAATGACACTATGTCAATATGTCTTGTTTAATAAGTAAAAATGGCGTACTCAGAAAGAAAAAGTCAAACTATATATATATATCAACTTATTATCTTAAAAATAATTTAAATATTTCAGAAACGGTTGAGTTTAAGTATATGGTATGTTATATCAAATATGCTTAGAATTTTACAAGAAATCGAAAAATAAATACATATATAGGGTGATCCATTGAAAAAAAATAAACTTTTTGTTTTTCCCTGTATACTGATCAATTTTCCAATTTTCTTTAAACGTAGAAAAAAGTATTTTTTAGTTCCTACATAACCAGACTTTTAAGTTTTTTGGGACACTTAAAATAAAAAGTTAAAGGGGGGCGACATTAAAAATATTTTAATACAAAAATTTATATAACCAGGGCCGTACGCAGGATTTGCTTCTGGGGGGGTGGTTATTAAATTTTATTTAAAAAATATATTTTTAGGATATTTTTTAGTAATTTAACTAAAATTTCACAAAGAAAGGATTTTAAGTGAAATTTTATACAAATATGGATTTTCAGGTTATTTTTTATTATTTCAAGTACGGGCCTGTAAAATATGCTTTGGTGTTGGTATTTGGTTTTATTATAATAAAATTTTATATTATTTTTGTAATATTTCTACTTTTATTTCACTTTTTGTAAAAAAAATATTCATGTGTTTTTGTAATAATAGTAAAAGAAGGTAATTTTAGTAATAATATTTAAGTTAAAAACCTATACAAACATAAAATGTGTTAAAAAAAATAAATTTTTTTAAACATAAATAAAAATGGAATTTAATAGATATATTTAAAAAATGTACAATGAAAAAAATATGCATTAAGCAGAAAAAAACAAAAGGAAATAGATAAATAAAAATAAAATAAAATTTTATGTTTTTTTATAATTTTTGTACTTTTTTTCTTAGTGGAAAATTTAAAATTGTTGTTTATTTGTAAAAGTAAAATTTATGAGAAAAAAAATATGTTTAATTAGTTACTAAGAATAATAATATTTTTTTTATAAATCTAAATAAAAATGCAATTCAAATATATTTAAAAATATCTACAAAAAATAATCATAAAATTTTGTGTTATCCATTATTACTTTTTGAGTTAATAAATAATTTGTTTCGCAATATTTGGAAAAACTCTAAAAATGTCTTATTAAACTCTAAACATATCGTATTAAACAGTATACAGGGTGAGTTTTAAGTTGACGCGTTCCTTTTAACAGCGTATAGAAATTAGATAGACAAATAAATATTTTAAGTAACTTTTTTTATCAAAACTCAAAAATAAGAGAGTTATAGCCCTTCCAAATTTAATTAAATTTTGAGCCGGTCCTGGCTATTGTTAATAAAAAACATAACCATAAAAATAAAAATAACAAAATGAACAATGCAAAATGTCATCTATGACAACAAACATAACCATTTAAATGACATTTAGCAATGAAAAATGTCATTATTTACTTAAGTCTTTTTTGGGCCTCAATTAATTATTGTTAAAAATGTGTCATTTTGGTTTAAATGGTTATGTTTGTTGTCATGGATGACATTTTTTATCGTTTATTTTGTTTTATTTTTATGGTTATGTTTTTTGTTAACAATAGCCAGGACCGGCTCAAAATTTAATTAAATTTTGAAGGGCTATAACTCGCTTATTTTTGAGTTTTGATAAAAAAGTTACTTAAAATATTTATTTGTCTATCTGATTTCTACACGCTATTAAAAGGAACGCGTCAACTTAAAACTCACCCTGTGTATATACGAGCCCTAACCACATAATGTTCGGACACTTCATAATTTATACAGAAATTTTTTTCGTGAATACTATCTCAAAATTATTAGAAGTTATGAAAAATTCAGCTTATTTTGGCATATACCCCTCGAAGCGATTTTTATTTTTAAAAAGTTTACCTTTTATTTTTAGCTTTTAAAAAAAGGCTAACTTTTTAACTTTTTTTTGTATGAGTAAAAAAAGTTATAAATGGACCCATTAAAAAGAGCATAAAATATTATACAAACCCTGAAAATTTGGTAAAAATTAAATAAGTTATAAAAAAGTATAAGTAATTTAAAAATGCTATTTTTAAAGAGTTTTTGCAATTTTCTTAGGAAACGGGAGATTTTGCAGATATATATATCGCTATAACTTTCTTATTATTTATACAATTTTTACCAAATTTTCAGGGTTTGTATAATATTTTATGTTCTTTTTAATGGGCCCATTTATAACTTTTTTTACTCATGCAAAAAAAAGTTAAAAAGTTAGCCTTTTTTTAAAAGCTAAAAATAAAAGGTAAACTTTTTAAAAATAAAAATCGCTTCGAGGGGTATATGCCAAAATAAGCTGAATTTTTCATAACTTCTAATAATTTTGAGATAGTATTCACGAAAAAAATTTCTGTATAAATTATGAAGTGTCCGAACATTATTTGGTTAGGGCTCGTATAACCAGGGCCGTGCGCTGGATTTGCTTCCGGGAGGGGTTTTTATTATATTTTATTTAAAAAAATACCTATTTATAAGTTATTTTTCAGTATTTTAACTGAAATTTTATAAGAAAAAAATATTTCAAGTACGGGCCTGTGAATTATGCTTTGGTATTGATATTTGGTTTAAATATAATAAAATTTTATTTTCTTTTTGTACTTTTTTACCTTTATTTTACTATTTTTTTTTAAATTACTTAATTTTTTTTTGTAAAAATAAAATTAATGAAAAAACTATTTTTAACTAGTTATAATAGTAAAAGTTAGTAATTTTAGTAATAATATTTAAGTAAACTAAATTTGTCAAAATAAGAAATTATTTTTTAAACATCTAAAAAAAGCAAAAAAAGCAATAAGAAATAATTAAATTAAAATAATATGATTATTAAAACTATATTTTAATACAAATTTGGATATAATTTATTTATTATTTGCTTAATTTTTTAAATTCCTATACAAATTTTGTGTTCCTGTTATCCTGTAGGTAATCCATTTTTTAAGTTAATAAATATTTTTTTTCGAAATATTTTGGAAAAAAATCTAAAAATGTCTTATTTTTAATTCACAAAATAAACAGTATAATTTTTTTTTTTGATATTTTTATACTTTTCTAATTTTATAATGGTACAAATAATTTGCATTTTAATTTTTTTTACTATTTTCTTTTATAAATTTAGATTTTTTAATAAACGTTTTTTTAACTTAATTTTAAATTAATATTAATATGAACTTACCAATTAGTAAACAACCACAATATCACAGCCTTTGAGGTAACAAAAACAGTTAATTTTTAAATATTATTTTTTAAGTTCTAAAGTTCCAAATTTCACACACGGCAAAACATTTTTTTCAACACAAAAAAAACTTGTCGACAAAGAAGCGCGAAGTGTAAGTAAGTGTAACTTAAGTAAGTAGTAGGTTTGCGGGGTCTTAATCAAAACAATCGAGCGTGCCGCTTGTCACTTGTTCTGCTGTCAATGCTGCCGCGATTCTGAGCCCCACTATTGCAACTAAGTAAGTAAGTGAGCGTACATATAGTAGATATAATATGCTAGTGCGGATAATCCGGCTCATTCTTCAAATATATAAGCCGTCCTTACAAATTGATAATTATGCAAATTAACGATACAAAATTAATTTGTTCGCTTGGCGCTGCCAAGATAAACAAAAAATGGTATTCACCCAAGTTTCTACATCCAATATTTTTTAGTAAAATACCAAACTAAACTAAACGGAGATTTTAGGTGAGGCATAATTTTTAAAATTATATGGATGAATCTCACGAAATGTCCCTCGATAGTGTTACCCCGTGATATTTAATAAAAGTAAATGAGTTTAACCAACACTTTTATTGTGTGTTTGATCTTTCATAATTAAGTAGATATTACAACTTAGGTTCCAGATTTTTAACCGCAATTAATTATTTTTTACAATGTTTTAAAAGTCTAAAACCTATCCTCCGTGACTATTACTCTTTCTACTTTAACCTGTATGTTCTCAAATATCTGAGGTAGTAAAGGCATACTAAAAATATCAGTTCTCTAAGTAAATTAAACACATCCAAAGCAATCGAATCAAATATAAAATATTATTAAAAATTAAACGAATTAATTTATATGACTATTTATGTAGGTGTTACAAAAATTGATTCTATCCTCCGTGAATCGTTTTTTACTTTAAATTTTATGCAACGGATGGCGCTTTAATCATTTTATCATATGAGAGTGTTGCTGTTTTATAATTCAAAAGTTTAAGTTCATTAATTTGCTATTTAAAAACCTATTCACCGTGAAGGGTAATATCTCAGTAAGTAGATTTTTGTATAAATATTTTATGTATGTACCTATGTACAATCCAATTTTTAAAAATATTAAGGTATCAAAAGATACAGTAACTTATTTTAAATATACAAAGGGATGTTTTAAAAAAACATACGAAATCCTAACCTCCGTGAAGCTATCTTCCGTGAAGCTCTAATATTCAAAATGTATGATTTCTTAAAATTCTTGCATTTGTGCAGAACCACTTATGTTATGTTATTACTAGACCTGGTGGCTTTCCAAAAACCCCATTCTAGACTAACAGTGAAACAACCAAAAATAAAAAATAATCATTTTCACTTGGGGGACATCTCAATATATTCACCCATGTATTTCCAGTAAAAAATTTAAATTTGATTAAATTATTTTTTGTTTACCATACGAAATTTTTTTTTAAATTTTGGTACTGGAAAAACCGATCTTTATACACACATGTAAATAAAACACTGAGAATAATTTTTCAGTAATTTTTTAAACTTACTCCCGAGAATTCGTCTGCAATTTTGTAAAATTTAAAATCAGAGACCACTAAAGCCCGATATTGCCAAATTTTGTTCAAATAGGGAGAATTTTTACAAAATTATCCGCCATTTTGTTTTTCCAAAATTTAAAAAAATGTATTTGTTTATAAAATGTGCATAAAAATATTTTTTCTACGACCACCATGTAAAAGTCACATGACATTGTTGCTTAGAAAATGAATCTTTTCATTGGCAAGACAAAACTCGAATGTAAAGTGACATTTCTGTGTGAAAAGTGACAGGTCTGTGTGAAAAGTGACAAGTCTGTGTGAAAAGAAATTGTCATTAAAAGAAATTTTAACAGGTGTCAAACACGTTTTTAGGTTATATTGTTTTGTATTTAAAAATAATAAGGGTCGTAAAAACATTTAATTTCACTTGTGAGGAAAGCTTTCCTCAACTCGTGTTAATGCACTTAAATACAAATAACTTTTATTAGGTATCTCAAAACAAAAATACAAAAAAATTAAATCCAATATTTAAAAAGATTATATAAACGTTTGTACTAACCATTTGATTTCGCCGTAGTAGTGTAGTTAACTAGATTCAACTGATAAAGCGTTTAAAATTTTGCGTACAGTGCCCGTAAATATTCTCTTCGGTAAAAAACTGCTTCTATATCGATTGTTAGTCTATTTTCAGGGGATAAATTTTTATTTACACTGAAAAATTTTTCTGTAACTTTAACATTTCCCCTGTAAGAATTTTTATTACTTTGTGATAATATTTTGCATTTATAGTAATAAAAAAATAAAGAATAAAAGATTTTCTTTACATAATCAAGTTATTTTAATATTTTAAAATATGCTGAAAATTACGTCAAAAATGTTGAATCGATGAGACCCGTATTTTTTCTTTTTGCTTAAATTTGTTTTGTTCACCCATAGGAAATTTTTGAAAAATTGACAGCAACATCGATTTTTCCCTTTTTACAAGTGTTTCGATCGTTGCAATTTTTTTAAATTGTAGGTAAATGTTTACTACATACAAAAAAAATATAAAAAATTAAGTGAATTAAGTAAATTTTTTTTTCTAAGAAGACAAAATAAATTGAGGTCAAAATTTTGACCATTGCCACATTTTTTTGCTTTATATTTTTTTTGTTTAAAGTTAATCTATCTAAGCAATGTACGACAGGAAATATCGCCAGGAAATATCGCCTTTAGAACAGTATTGGATTTGGACGTCTATGATATAATAAACAAATTAAACAATAGTAAAAGCTTTGGAATTGATGGAATACCTGCATCAGTACCAACTTAAAATGATGGCAAACTATATATACAAACCCCTAACATACATAATCAATAAATCTGTACTTGACGGAGAATTTCCGCATCAGTTGAAGTGCTCTGCTGTTGTACCTATCTTTAAAAACAAAGGTGACCCGCTCTCAATTGATAATTATAGACCGATCTCTTTAGTTAGTGTAATTTCTAAAGTTATTGAAAAAACGTTATATGATCAAATAATAAAATATGCCGAAAAATATAAATTAATGCTGGAAAACCAACACGGATTCCGAGCTGGTCGATCGACTCAGACAGCAGCCTACCAGTTGACAGAATTTCTATACAGCTCTATAGACTCTAATACTCTGGTCGCTGTGGCCTTTTTTGATCTTTCTAAGGCGTTTGACTCCATAGATCTAAATTTTTTTGAAAATAAAATGTATGCCCTTGGATTCAGAGGAATTAAATACAAATATAAAACTAGTAATAAACATGTTTCAAAAGTGGTGCTATCAAAATAATCTAATACTTAATGCAAGTAAAACTGTTTTAATTAATTTCTGCAACAGAAAAAATCAATACCTGAATAATATTATTCTTGATACCTTGGTTATAAAATCCTAAATTCTAACCAAATTCTTTGGTATAATCTTAGACGCAAACCTAAACTGGCATGAACACATAAATCACATTAACAAAAAACTGAAGAGCCTTTTTTGCATTGTTAAATATGAAAAATTCACTGTCTCAAGAATACCTTTTAAATGTTTATTATGCATTAGCTTATAGTCATTTAAATTATTGTATCTGCCTATGGGGGGGCTCTGGATATGCAAAACATGTATTTACCTCTCAAAAGAAAATTATCAGACTTATCTTTAACCTAAAAAACACGGAATCATGCAAATTCACATTTAAAACTCACAAAATACTAACAGTACCAAGTATTTATATACTAAATAGTTTACTATTTGCTAAAAATAATAATTTAAACTTTGACAAAAACAACAAATTTCACTCGTATTTAACAAGAAATGCAAATAAAATAATGTCCACTGCACACAAAACAACAAAATTCGAGAGGTCGGTCTCATACGCATCAGCCAAAATATACAATAATTTACCAGAAAATATTGTTTAAAAACGAGTGTAAAAAATTCCTGGCAAATCACTGTTTCTACAGCACCCAGGAATATTTTCAGAAATGTTAGATACCATAGCTTTAAAAATGTATGCTTGTGTTTTGTTGTTTTTGTTTTTATACATTTATTTTTAAATTATAAAGAAAACCATAGTTTAAGTACAAATATATGTGTGTATATATGTGTATTTATCTGTATTTGTGAACCATGCAAATTAATTTCATGACGTGTACAGTGTACACTGTACACTGTACACCCTATTATATCTAGGCAAAGTATAAATAAAAATATTATTATTATTATTATTATTGTTGATAATATAAAAAACTTTCACCAAAATCTAAATGGCTAAATTTGTCGTTTTGGACCCTAGATAAAATACCAAATTTTTGCGATTAACCACGAATTTACTAGAAAATGGCATTTTCAATAAAAAAATAATAATCCCGAAACGATAAATTTAGCCAACTCAGGACTTTTGGTGAAAGTTGTTCATATTATCAACTTCAACAAAAAAGTTATGAAGTAAAAAAATTTGGCAATGGTCAAAATTTTGACCTCAATTTTTTTGCCTTTTTTAGAAAAAACAATTTAAAAGAAATTTGAGTAAATTCACTAAATTTTTTATATTTTTTTGTATGTATTAAACATTTACCTACAATTTTAAAAAAATTGTAACGATCGAAACAGTTTTTGCCAAATTATTGTTTTTGTAATTTTTTTCAAAAAAAAAATAACGACGTACACCTTTTTGCCTGGTCGATTAGAAATGGAAAGGCCCTATAATATTATTATTTTAGATGCTCAGATACACAATAAATGTATAATAAATATTTATCCATAAACAGCTCAAGCATGTCTGCAGATCTACAGATCGAGTTACAAAGAAGGATATTTTTTTTATTTATCAGAAAATTTGTCTCCTAATGAAATGATCAGCTTGCACTCTAAGAATATATATTGTAATCCCTAACAATATAGATTTGTTATGCAAAATATGGTTTATTTAATTATAACTTATGGTTGTAATAACAATATACGTAAAATTAGTTTTGTTATATGTACTCTAATCATTTTGTTATAAAAATTTAGTAAAGTTAGATATTTGATTAGGCTATTACAACCATCATGTACGGCTAAACTGTTAGTACTACACTAGATGGTTAAAATTATAAGATTATCTGGTTACAATAACAATATAATGTTGTCACACAATATTAACAATATGTTGTTGTAGTTTTTACTATACAGAAAGTTTATACATATCATACGTATAGTATATTTAACCATTTAATTAAACACTCGCTTGCAAGCTCGT